AAAACCGCAGGCTGTGAATACTGATCTACACAGACACTCCAGACTGTCACACTGCAGACATCACTGCTGACACTGAACTTACCTGACATGATGGCATCAGTGATGTTGAGGTTATTAAGTGACAGCCCCAGGGACTGGCGCGAGGAGGATGAGGAGGTGCTAGAGGTCTCAGAGGGTGGCCGAGCTGTCTTGACAGGTGTGGCTGTTGGTGTGGCATTACTACTGGACTTGAGACGATCATTTTCTGCTTTCAGCACCTCAATCTCATTCTATTCATTGAGAAAAAAAAAATAAAAATACGTTCTATCAGAAAATGCATTCAAAGACTCTGGTAACAGTCATTTTCTTTCTTCCATTCAGGCTGGGCACTTATTCTGAATCAGTTTTGCTGGAATTGCAGGCTGTAAGCATTTTTTAAATACCTTGAAGGTTCTTTGTACTGAAGGTTAAGTCTCAGATAAGGAGCCTGACACCCCCAGATGATGAGTAGAGACTATGGGCCTCTAGAGGTGAAGCAATCCATTTTAACTAAGTCATTTATAATATTCTTTAAACGTGGGCTTATTTAAGGAATAGGAAACAATCAAGAATCTCTGAACATTACACCTTGAAATGATGGGTGGCTTTTTGTTGCACAACATCAATAGCAATAAAGTGAAATAAACAAGTCGAACACATTTACAGTATATACAGGGAGAAGCTTTCCTTTGTGACTTTTTACTCAGCTTCATGGACAATTCAATAATTTCATTTCACTGTTAGAAAGCATATTCACCTTGATTGCTTTTTTAAAATTGAGATTGATGTGTTTGATATTAACTTCCTGTCTTGAAACTGATACAGCATGTTGGCTACTTTGTGGAAACCAAAAAGCTAGTTAGCAGGCTGCATCTTATTTTAAGTTTTTGTTTTACCTTGTCACTGTGAAATGTTTTCAGACATTTAGGCTTAGAAGAATAGTTCAGTATCTTGTAGATAGTTAGATGAGACACTGATACCCCATTCATGTCTGCAATCCACTAACCCATGAATGTATTGTTAACTTCTTAACTGCTTCAGTACCTCTAGGGAGAAACACTCCACTTCAGAAAATAAACTGAACAAAGTGTTGCATTTATGAGCCTTCACAGAAGATCATGAGATGCTTCTAATTGGGCCTCTGGAGTAAACATCTGTTTTGAGTCCTAAAAACTTGTCATATCTTTCCTTCTGACTGATGGCAAGACAGAATCCGTAATTAAAGCCAGTTAGAACTGAATATTTAGATTTGTTTCTCATAATTACCTAGAAAACAGGACATTGAGCATGCTGTTTCAGTTTACCCTGTCTCAATCATACTGCAAATATATACTGATGAGTGTAACCTCACCTGCATGCGGTTCATGGCCTCTCGGATCTGGTCCAGGTGGTGGGCGGAGCTAAGTGCTTCCAGGCGGATGTCTGTCAACTTGAGCTCCTTCTCCCTCAGCTCGTTCTTCAGCTGTAGGATGATTTCAGCCTCGGCTTCAGTGCATTCACACAGCCTGCAACCGGGATTACACACAGGGAAGAGGGAGGGGGGTCACCTCAAGGGTTATACCAAAGACACACACACACACACACACATAGTCTGGAGAGAAGAGCACACACTAAAAGGAACTAAGAGAGCTGAAGTTCACAAGGAAAGTCAGTAACAAAAACTGCACAGCCAGGTGCAACATGGAGGTGAAAGGGGAAATGCTGCATTTGTGACAGTGAATTGTTCTCATTTACAATACGATACAACCAAACATGTTTATAAGTAGAAGACATATTCCAGTTAGAGTTTCCACAATGAATAGCTGATAATGGTTTTTAGGTGAGTATGCCAGATTTTATTTGCAACCAAGAAACATACCATTTTTATTTCTGCAGTCTGCTGAATATACAGTATATAATTTTCTCAGTTTGACAACTACAGTAAAAAGCTGCAGTTAGAGTATACTGTAATGAAGTCCTTATGCAGTGTAGAATTTAGAGTAGATGATGTGGTAGTAGTGCTATCATCATGACAGATATTTTGTTATTTTTGTTATCAACAGGCAGAGATCTTAAACAATAACTTGAGTATACAATTTGCTAAGTCACAAACACAACAATAATCTTTTTCACACCTGTGGGTTTACTGTGTCATTTGAAATGCAACTTCCACATGCTCTGCTACTGAGAAAACACATCAGAAATGATCTCATCTAGCTGCCACACAGCACAGCAGATGTGCCGAGTACTTGCATGCGTTTTAATGGTTGGCTGTCAACATGGCCATGCTGGCACTTTGGCAGTGACACTAAACCAATCTGCACTGGCATGAGTAAGAAAATGATCACTGCTTATCCTTTGAACTCTTTACTCAACCTTCAGCTACTTGACCTTAATTGAGAACTCCCAGTTCTGTTTATTTGGCAGATGAAATCCATCACCTCCAACATGCCGAGATTTTGTGGCATTAAGTTGCAGAGGAAAGTCACACCAACACACCCCACAGCACATACACTCCCTGGGAACATGCCACACAGTGCCTGTTACCGAGATCTGTGCTTGTAGACCACATGACCATTTAGCTTTTTCTTTGGTGTCCAAATTGGGGAGGACTTGCTATCACAAACGCACTTGCTACAGCAGGTGGAGAGATGTTATGAACAGAAAGGTTGGATAAAAGAAAAGTGAGGGAAGGATGTAAAGACATCTGTGAAATAAAAACTAAAAAATAACTGAAAATAGCATAGACTAGAATTTGAAGAAATAAAACAGTTGTGTATACAGTATTGTAGCCTATATGCATTTTCTATTAGAAGGCTTTGAAGAATGGGCATTAAGAGGAGGTGAGAATTACCTCTCTAGTGTGTATATGTACATCTGTGTGAGAATGGATGCATATGTACGTATATTTGTGGGAGGCTATGTGTGTAAAAACTCACTCTGTGGTGGAAGGCGAAGAGTGCAGTGTGGCAATGCTGCCTTGCTTGTTGTCATGCTGCAGTTTGGGTGAGGATGACAGAGAGTCGGTCATCTCATCCATCTCATCATGGGCCGACTGGGATTTGGTTTTCTTCTTGCTGAACGCCTGCTTGAAGGAGCTGCGTAACTGTAAGTCAGAAAACACAAAACACACAGGGGAAAGGATGTCAGTATTGCCATATAGACACATCTTCAATCATATAAAGTCAGCTCTTAAGACATAATTCCTGGCGACATCACATCTTGCCAGATCAGAAGTCAGTCCGTGCTATATCCAAGCAAAGGTCACTGTTTGGCTTAGGTAAATTGGGAGGTAAAAAGCAAGGCCATAGATAGAGATGGAAATAAGAAGGAGACGTGAAGAGCAGGCTTTTAATGACCCTAGAAGTCAAGGTTGAACAGGCAATCAAAATGAACAAGAGAGAAAGAACAAGGAGGTACGAGGGGGAAGGGGAAAGCTGCTGTATCCATGCTGTTGTTTCTAGAAAAGGGAAAGAAAAGGATGCTGTGAAAGGGGAACGAAAAGAAACAAATAAGCAAACAAAGGAAGGGGGGATGGAGAATAACCACTGCACACACACTGAAGACACTCTGGAAACCACTGACCTGAGCTGGGATGGAATCAGCCACCTGAAGATGTAGAAGACACCCAGTGTTAAGCCACACAGGCACACACTTCTGCTCACTTCACCCATAAACTCGCTGCTTATTAAAGTTAATTGCTGCAAATGTGCCTGTTTCACTGAGTACAGTCCGTCTATGACTTTGTTCTGAAGATATACAGTAACAGTTATTGTTAATTCCAGTATGGTAGTTGCTCTAAATGGCAGGGAAATGCTAAACTTCAAATTTAACACTTTAAAGCTTTTTTAAATATTAGTTTGTTTATTTCATACTGTAATACTACATACAGTGATGCTTTCTGTAGCTTGAAAGAAATTAGCTTGAATTTCTGGAATGGGCACGCTCTGATCCCGTGTGGGTCAGCTGACATCGCCTCTGTTCCTGACCCTGACCGGGTCAGCCGGCAAGCTGATGCCACCCTGGTTCCTGTCCCTGTTCCATGGCGATGTAGTGACAATGTTCCCACTGAACTGGATGGTCCTTGCTGTGCCTACGAGAATGTCCCTACTGAAGCATTTTACCCTCAGTGCGCTGACAGAAGTGTCCCTGCTGAGGTCCCCACTTCTCAGTGTCCCAACAAGGATGCTCCTGCCGCCTCCACTGTTCCTGCTCCCCGATGGGTCAGCGATGATATATCGACGCCACGTCCGTTCCTGCCCCCTTGTGGGTCAACTGTTTCGATGCCACCTTTGTTCCTGCTCCCCAATGAATTGATGACGCCACCCTGCGCCCAGTTCCTGAGTGGGCCAATGTCGCCTCGACTCCTGCGTCAGCCCTGGCTATCAGCTCTTCACTGACTCAGCTTTTGTCCGTTTCCAAGGCTGCCCTCTGGAGAAATCTTCTGCCTGGTTCCAAGGCTGTCCTCCCGAGCAGCCTCATCGAGCTCCTGCCTCATTCTGAGACAGTCCTTCCAAGCAGCCTCTCTGATCACTGGCCTGGTCCCGTGCCCACCCTTCCGAGCGGCCTCCCTGAGGTTCTGCCTGGTCCTGTGGCTGCTCTCCTCAGTG